CCAGGCAGTCTTTAAATAAATTCAAATATCTCACTTTTCAGGAAAAATGTGGCCAAATGTTTGTTTACCTTAGCATTACACCTGAAGACAGTGAGGCCAAACATTTGTAGCAGAGTTCAGCAGCACAGTTGTGCAGGACAATTTGGCATGTCAATCAAATACGGGAACATTTTTGCCCAAGAGTTATCATACTCTCATTTTACAGACAGGAACAAAACACAGGAAGAGGCTAGAGATGACACAGGGTGTTAATTCTTTACAAACAGCCAGTCATTACCCACTACCAGAGAGCACATAACTGTGGTTTTTCAGTAACATGCTGTAACCATTCCAGTCATCACCACAACCTCTTACAGCCAGGGCTCCTGCTCCTGGTCTGCATTACTCTGCACTTATGTCACATCACTATTTTTAAGTGTTTTCTTTTTTTCCCTTCTTTTTAGCCAAATACTTCCCCAGTTTGTTTTATAGCTAGCACAGTTATTTGCAGAGCTGTACACATCTGAGTAGGTACCACACTGGCATGTGTGGAGGGTGAGGGTGTCAAGGGAGCAGGAAGACACTGTGCCAGCGTTGGTGCTGCTGACTCTGCCACAGTGCATGTGGCATGGGGCTGCAGCCCAGGAGCACTGCCTCCCTCCCTCCAGGTCCCAGGCTCAGTGCTCTGGAACACACTGCCTTCTTCCAGGGGCAGGGAACAGCAGCAGTTTGGGATCAAAGCCAAATCTGTTCCCAAAGGCTCATTCACAACAGTGGAAGGATCTTGTTTTGAAAAGGATGTTCGAAAACAAAACGTGACTCTCAGGAATCTTCCAGAATCTGTTTCCTTTTTGAAGTTTTCCTATTGGGTTTTTTCCATCTTTGCTCATTTGTTTTGTCTCTCGGGGTGGAACTGAAAGCATAAGCTCAGAGATTCACTGTGAGTTTATGTTCTGTTCAACTGAAACTCAGATACTGTGCCCAGGCAAAAGGTGAACAAGTACAAAGCTGGCTTGATTTCCATCAGGATACTGATAATGCTGAAAAAGCCAGCACATTCCATGGTTTTGTTGGCACTCGCTCTCAGAGTTTCTGCCATGCTGAACAACTGAAAATATCTGATTATTTTTGTGGGTGGTAAAGAGAAGCGTTTCCTATTTAGAATTCCTTACTTAGAATTTTGGTGGCTGTTTTTCACTTTGTCCATTTATCTCTCATGAAACCCAAAGAGAGCTCTTGCTCTCCAGTCATTCTTCCAACACTGAAGTCTGGAGTTCCTTTGAAGTTTACTTTGGCATCTACTTCCTCAAGCAAGCACCTTAAAAAAAATTAAAGCTGAAAGTGGTACCCCACTCCCGACTCAAGACATAAGTTCAGATATTGATTTCTAGGAACAAAGATTTAGTGAAAAAACAAGACACTAAAGTTACAACAGAGCCTACAAAATCTAGGTTAGCTTTCATACTATCAATCAATTAGTTGAGTTAGATAGACATTCAGTTACACAGCTCTTCTATTCAAGTCATTCCATACTGCTGACAGCAGTTGAGCGAGGAACAATAATTTCAGGGAATACATAGGAAATAACAAATATTCCCTAAGTCACTGGCACTCAAACAGGTCTAAAATTGTGACTGGGCATTTACAATTATTCAAAAGATTGGTAGGAAGACCAACTCCACACCATCTTATAGTTCTAGGCTTTAAAAAACAAACAAATCATCCCCCCAACATATAATACTTTGCCCTACTATAATTAAGGCACTGGATTGAGAGAAGGAAAAATCTGTGTTCAATTTCTGGTTCTGCTATCAATTTCCCACATCATCATGGGCAAATCACTCAAGTTTGAGAGCTCACACACACCATATTACCATGCACCAGGTGAGCCACACTGCTAAGCCTGTTTGCACACATTTAAGACATGACAAGTGCAAGGTAATGCCACCTAATTTAACTCGGTATGGAATAAATTCACACTAAATGCCTTTATCTTGCATTTGTTGTGGATTAACATACATAAAGAGAAATTCAGGCCACAAAAGAAGCCTGATATGTCTGTGCCTCTACATTTAACACAACACTTAAACATGCATGCAAGTGGTCTTTAGACCTTCATCTTTCTTTCAGTCATTCACCTACAAGCATCTATTCATTTCTTGTCTGTCTTTTATGTTTAGATCACAAATGAATGAAGATGTTCTCATGGTACCTAATATACAAGGCTTTCAGCCTCGGTTGAGAGGTTTAGGATACAATACAAAGAAACACTACAGGTTTAATTATCTACATTTGTATGAACTGAACTTCCCTTCCTGGCAGAAAAGTGCACCTACTCAAATGCTGGATTGCAGTTCTACCACAGGAGATGATAAAGAAATGAGGGCTGACCCAAAACCAGAACTAGCATCTATACATTGCTATGCCAATTAAAAATAAAATGTAATAGCAACAAGTGAGGTTGCAGCTCACAGCACATTAGGTACTTCCCTTTGAACTCTGAACTTGAGTTGGGATCTGTCTCATGTTCTACGAGAAAAAGACATTTCCCAAAGTACAGAATAGAAGGAATTTGCATGTAGATGACACTACTGTCCAGAATGGAACAGTATGTCCCCAAGGAAGCAAAAAGCACTGAAAACATCCTACTGCTAAAGATCTGCCCAACCTCCTGCTGGCAGTAGCCTGCACCAGCCTCTCATGTTGGTACAAATCTCTTCCCTTCACACTAGGATGATCTAGAACTGCCCTGTCAGGATTGTTAGCTTCCTGCCTAATTGTTTCCCTGCCCACTAGACTGAAAAGTAAGTAGTTTTCATTCAATGTTTTCATGACAACTTAGCAAGCATTTTCTTTGACAAGCAGAATGCACAGTTAGTGTTTTAGAGGGCTTTGGTTTTAGTTTAAGGCCTTTCCTTTGTTTCACCAGGTCAAATTCTGTAGCATTCAAAATTAAATTCTGAGAGACATGGCCAAAATTCAACCCAACAGTAACATTAAAGTAAGTGGAGCTAAATGTAGGATGAAAATATCCTGAACTCTGGATTTGGCTTTTGGAGTTGAATTTTATGGCTAGTGCACCCTTTTTGAGTGTACATAGGAGCACCAGGGACACAAATGTCTCTTTCAGCATACAGCCTCAATTCAACAGAAATTCTCCTTGTGGCTGAAATTTGAGCTATTAGTAAATCAGTGACTGCAGTTGCATTTGCTAATCCCAAGGAATTGTTATGCTGATTGGAAGGCCTGCTCTGCAGCTTACAAAATTGTCTAGGCATGGTCTAGATTTGTAAGGTATTTTAAAATGTTTTGTCACTTTTCTACAACGTTCAGTTTCTTCCTGTCAACTAAGCTTACCAGTACAGCAACAGCAGTTCCATGAAGCTTTAGTTTGTTTATTTGTTTGTTTTTTCCTTTTAAGAGAGACTCATACCTATTCCAGGGATTCTGGGGGAAGATGACTGGAGAAGAACACGTCCTTCAGTCTCCCAGCACAGATTAATAGCAAAACATCAAGTCTACTGCAACATGCTCTCAATTTAGAAAGTGCTGGTGCTATAAAGAGAAAGCCATTGATTATTCATCCTTGGTTTATAAGACTCGAGAACAAGTACAAAAAGTAGCTTCTTACAAGAGAATCTGGGGCTTCTATCTCTGCAGAATTTAGAATGTCATTCCAAAATTCATCTTCTTACAAAAGGCCCTATAATTCCAACATAAAACCAAAACGGGAATGTGTCTTATGTCAGCTATGCATTAGCTGCAGGGTTTAGATTAGGAGTACCTGGGCAAAGGAAGTTGTGGTGCAGCAGCAGTTTATGGCTCTGTGCACACCTAAAACAGACACATCTCCTGCAGCAGATGTGGTCCTGGTCTGGGGGGTCTGTCCTGCTCCAGCACTGTAGTAATGATGGAGACAGCTCCTGTTTCATAGGGTGCAAGGCTGGTGTGGACCTTGGGTTCTTCAGAGTGGCCTGTCTAGAAACACTCAATACACAAAGCAGTTTACCCAGTCACTGCTTAAACCTTTGCTCATTAACCCTCTCAACAACAGTGATGTAGAGAAAAAAAATCTTCACAGATGGGAAATCAAGGAATAAATTCAGGGAACTGTTTTATGAGACCTTGAGTATCAACAGCAGAACCATAATTAAAACTCAGAGTGTTCCTAACTCCTAACCCTGTGTTAAACAACATTTATACCTGGGTTTGGTACATAAAACCTTAACAAATTACATGGGAGGAAAGGGAGGGTCAGAAAGGACATTATTTCTGCACAAGTGGTACTTTCCAATTACATGGAACCTCGAACAGCCTAGAGCCCAGCTTCTTTGCATTTTGTAATCAATTCTTTTGCAGAGATATGCTGTTTGCAGTTCCCACCTCTTATACTAGAAACCCTTCTTCTCTGGAAAGAAAGGAGTAAGACTGGCTTTCGCACACCTGACCAGAGACAGCCCAGGAGAGCACAACTGTGGCCAAAAGGTCCAGCTCTGAGAATACAGTGTAGAGTGGGATTAACATCTTACTGGCTCTCATTTGCACACCTTGTGGACAGGTGGCTAAATTGCTCAAAAACCAGACCAAACGAGGGGATGCAAAGTAACATACTAACTTCTTTAATAGAGTCCAATCCAATTAAACCAAAATCACTCTGAGAACCCCTGGGTTTATTCACACTAAACAAGTCAGTGGTACATAGTGTTAACCCGATAGCTGATCGTATTCATACCCTGGGTCCCATGTGAAAAACGAGCACCAGTCAACCAGACTGAAATGGTATTTTTTCCTTCCTTTTTTTTTCTTTTTTTTTTTCATAAAAACTATTTCTTTCATAGACTTAAAACAACCAACTAGCCAAGTTATTAATTATGGTACATCTAAAAAAAAATTCAGCCTAACCCTAATGTGACTGCTGCTTTAAGAGTGCTCTGTGTATCGCCTTAGACTGGCTTTTCAGTAGCAATTGATTACAACAGGTCCTAAAATAATAATAATAAAGAATTCAAAACCTGACAGCAAATTTAATGGTCAGAAGTAATAAAACCAACCTGTTCTGAAAGGTGACTTTTCTCAGCAGTTCAGTCCTGCTGCAGCACTCACAGCCTCACGAAAGGCAGAAGGGGTTCAAATTCTCTCACCTTATTAAAATTTTTCTGGTTTAAAGGACAACCTGCTAGGAACAATGGGGCATTTTTCTCAATGTTATACTCAATAATGGGTCAATAATGGGTCTGTTTTTAAAACTTACTGTTTGTCTGGGGTAGGTTAGGGAGGGTGGGGATAGAGAGAGAACATCATCAGAGCTCCCTGTAGCTGTAGCTCCCCAGGTGCCTCGGTCACTAGGACTGTCCCATTCTCTGACCAGCGCTGGCAACTTTTGATTATTCTGGAAGAACACGAAGCAACACCAGCAGCAGCCTCTTAGAGCTCCATTTAGTGTTTTGGGTCATGTCTCCTATTCAAGGCCACCATCTGCTGTAATTTATCAGCTAAGAAGCATTTTCTCCCTCTCCCCAGTGAAGGTTTAAAGGTGGGGTAGGGCATGAGACAAAGAGGGAAGCTAAAATGAATAACAAAATTCTCAGCTATAGAACCAAATTTCATTATTTCCTCTTTCATTCACAGCATCTTATCACTATAGCCAGACTGCTGCTTTGCTTTGTTAAGATCCAACTGATCTCATTTCCCCTCTGGCCCCATTGGTTGCTGGTCGACCTCTGGATCCACTAGGGATGATGCAAATGCTGACTGGACGATCTGAAACCCAAATGACTCCAGAAGAGACATGTTCTGTTGGGGTGAAAAGGGGGATCCCAGAGCAGGACCAAGGTCCCCCAGTGGGCCACCAAGGGCCCTGACGTGAACTTTCTGTATGTGTTTGTTCAGGTAAGACTTTGACCGGAAAAAGCTGCCGCACTCGGGGCACGGGTACTTCTTATCTCCTTCCGTTTCCATTTTGTTTTTGCTCACTGCCAGGTCACACGAGAAGGACCCATTGGTGCTCTGTTTCTCAGGAGTCTTGAGGTCACTGGTGTCAGAGAGGTCTCCATATGAATCAGAACTCTCAATCGGGTCCGAATGCGAACATTTCTGGCCTTCTACGGGAAAAAGAGAAGAGAGAAGTTTTCAGAATCTTATCTCCCAAAAAAGGGTGTTTCACAAGCATTAAGACAGATTAGATTAGTGACCACCTGATTACAGTAATGCCTGTCATGATAGAATGATGCACACAACATCCAGTCCCTCATATTCTAAAGCCCTTGAGCACAGATTCTCTTTCCAAGCCCCCAGGCTGCTCTCAGAGCAATGCTTGGGGTTTCAGTGTGGATTTGTCATGACACAGAATGCAACCACAGTGGGTTTCTGGGTTTTATATAATACGTTTTGAGTCCCAAAGTTGTCTCACAATGTTTACACCTCAGACACTACAAAAGGATGGACCTAATGATGAGCTTTTAGCTGTGCAAGTCACTTGCACGCTGCTGAAATACTGTTGATACTCTGGGGAAGAGACTAGAAACTTCATGAAGAACAACAGGCTGCAGCAAGATGTGAAGAAACCTGGAAATACTCAGCAAAACAGGAGTGAGCTACTGCAATTTAAGACGTGCAATTCCATTTAGTCCCAAGTAACTCTTCTTTACAAGTGCAACACTGTTAGAACTGAACACCATCTAAAATTGTTACATCTTTAAATACTGTAGTGTGAAAGAGGAGAGAGGTCAGGGACACTACCTTAAGCCAGTTGGATACATATCCTAGCAAAGCCATTGGTATGTTTGGAGCCTTCCCCATTCTCCTCTGGCTTTATGCCAAGGAAGTTTGTCCACACATTTTGCTCAGTGCATGTGAATGAGTGAGGGAAATCCAGACATATTCACTAAACAAGTCTCTGAATACAAATAAGCTGTACCTACTATTAACTCTAAAAGACCAAAGCACCACTTGGCACAACCCAAAAGACAGATTTGCTCTGGACTCAGCATTACAAACCAAACAGGATATGCATGAAATCAAGACACCACTAAGCAGAAGTAAATCTCTTGTTAAGCCAGCACACCACCCAAAACCAAAGGGCTTCTGTAGTATCTCTATAAAGACTTCAACAGAAAAAATTACACAACTGTAGCTTTCTACTGGTGCAGAGTTCATTTAGCCCAGCCTGCTGTGTTCTCCTGGGCAAGGAGAAAACAACTATCGTTTGGAAGAATTTTCTGATGTTTCAGCTTCACCAGGAATACTGACAGCTCAAACCAAGAAGCAAAAAGCAAGCTACTCTGCAGAGATAAACACGCTGCATTACTTATTCAGAAGTTAAATACTCTTTAGCTATGCTTACAATGACATCTTTTTCCTTCCCCCCACCCCAAAAGTGCAGGTTAAAAACTAAAACAAAGTACCAGTACTATTATCACCCTCCACTTCTCCTCCCCAGCAACACCATTTAAAAGGGTAAGTTTTGCTACAGATAGTTGCACTGCTCCTCATCACCCTGAGGATGAATCCTTATGAACTGCATTCTGCAGCTCCCCCTTCCTTCACTGGAAACCAGAAACATGGTTTGACCGACAGGAGATTCAGAGTGGGAGTAAGGACCTTGCCCATGATCTGCATCCCTGAGGCAAAAATTGAGATGCTGTCTGTTCTAGGAAGTGGGTCAAGATGAACTAACATGGCTTTTGCAATCTCCAAAATCAAAGAACCTGCCAAAAATTCACATACTCTTATGTGTCCATCTCCTTCTCCCAGACTTGTTAAATCGGCTATCCAAGGACAGATATTACATCCTACATGATGCTATGGAATTTCTCTGCATCTCCCTAAGCTTCTCTCCAGTATTTTCCCTGTCCTTCCTCCCTCCCCTTTCTCATGCCCAGCCCAGCACCCCACAACACAAAGTTCTGCACAGAGCAGCAAGGTGCAGAGCAGCGAGTCTCTTGCCTTTGATGCCATAGGTCCTGACGCAGTGGAACGCTGCTCCCCCATTCGGGATGGACTCCTGGTGCCTGGAGACCTGGGGAAGGGGAACACCGTGGTGGGTTTTAACATGGACCTTTAAGTAGGAGGCAGAGGAGAAACCTAAACAAGATAAAAGGAGATGAGATCCTGCCACCAGCAAAGACACACATCTGCCTTCCCTGTTCTTTTGATCTTTCTCTTGCTCCTGCTCCCTGTTACGAAGTGCCATTACGCCACTGGTTACCCACGACATGCCCAAGTAGGATTCCTACTCCTAGCGAGGCAGTAATGCAAGGCACACTCTTCATCAGACTGTGCTGGCGCTTTGGAAGTTGGGATGAAGGAGCAGCCTCCTTAGGAACAAATCCTGTGTCAGCAAACCTAGCAGATGACATGAAACTTTCTGGAAAAAAGGCCAAAGAGACGTCAAACAAAAAGGCACCGATGTCTCTGCACCATTTCTGTGCTGTTTTATTTATTTTAATTAAAAATGCCTTCATCATCTGATAATGCTGTGGAAGGTAGTTCAAACTAGTTTATTTTATACTGTTAGGATTTGAAGGACTAACAGTTAGTAGCAGCTCTTGCTAGTTTTTAGTGTGCTTTTACCTTCGGTTTATAGCATTTACAGTGACTCCAAAAGGCAGAGAGCTACAACTACTGAGTTTTTAAGGTATACTTCTACAGTGACTTTTGAAAAACATTGCCTGCATTCAGCTCATCTGAGTTTGAAAAAATACTAGAACTCATATTTTGTCTGCAGTTAACAAAAAAATATTAAAAATGTCAATGATTTCATTAGCTCTGATCTGTAAGCCCAAACCACTGAAATTAAAAACATGTATTTCAAACAACTGGTTTCTGAACAAAGTAGTTTTTTACATTTCTGCATATGATTTTTAAAATGGTTTTTGAAGTCTCACAAATATGTCCTTTTCCTTTAATGCAATAAATTATCTCACATATACTTTGGAATGTTTTTTCATTCAATCTTAGTAAGAAGTAAATCACTAGTAGTACATCAGGACCATATATAAGGCACAAGAAGGAGAGTTTTAATGACTTCCTGCACAGATAAAGCTACCAACAACCATCTTAATTTTCTGTTATATTTTGAACAGAGTATTATGGCACTTTCATGTTAAAACATTTTTCTTTAACAACTGAGAATACAAGACAAGGTTCCCCATCACAGACATAAGAGTTCCAGGATCCCTTTCTGGACAGAGAAAACCCAAGCCCTAGGTGCTTTGAAATTAATACAGCAGTTACAGCACAAGCCCCTGGAAGAGAACTTTCATACCAACACTTCACTTCAAATATGAGTAGATATTCTATTGCAAAGCCATTTTTATAGGGATATGTACTCACATTTGCTGATCTATAATAATATATTAGGAAGGATGCAAGCCCAATACTGCACGTCTCTCTGGGGTGCATCTTCTGACAGCAGCTCTTAGTTTCAGGTGCTGCACTCATTAATGAACGCGGCTTTACACTAGAATTCTCTATCCCTAGCCACCAGAATATCCCTCTGCCCACTCTGTTCTTAGAAACAAGGATCTAAGAGTATCCAGGGGTCACAAAGAATTACATATCCAGGACCTGCAAAGCAAGACAGAACTCCACTGCAACCTGCTGAAGGGGAGAAGGGCAGGTCGCTGAGAATGAACAAGGGGTAGTTACTGAGGACCCCTGAGCTGAAGATGAATGTACAGAAAAGTATGCACATCACAACTGAAGAAACTGAGAACATATGACTCAAAGTACAATGGAGCAGAATCACCTAGCTCAAGTCATCCAGGGAATTATTGTAAGGATATTATCCTCTGAAATAATGCAAGACCTACCCTCAGACACAAAATGCTACACTGAAAACCTCACTGGGCAACAAGAGAATATGTTTTTACAAATACCAAAAATTCACTGTAGACATGGAAAGAACCAGTGTTTGATTGGTATAGAAAAGGGCACAATGTACAGATACAATGGTGACACTTCTACCTACAAGGCACTTCCCTCATTTCATGCATGTGTCTAATACCAACAGGCATGCTGAGCTGAAGCTCTTTTATGTAGCAATGCATTAAAATCTCACTGCCAACCATAAAAAAAGGACTACACACAGGTATTCAGTGTTTTTCTATACTACAACCGACACAGGAAAACCCAAAGTTGTAATCTCTGCTACACAGTATTTTTTCTGAACTCTGCAATTCTATTTGTAGAGTACATTGTTTTCCATAATGAATACTGCTGCAAAGTGTGCTAGCTCCCCTTTATGCACTTGGCAGATGAATATGTGAGTCATCAACTTCCATCAAAGCAGTAAGAATGCCAACTGCTCCATAGGAAACCATTTAAAGGGAGATTTTTTGGGTTTGTTTTCATCCTAATTTTTTCTGGAGCATTTAGCACTGGCCTTTTTTTTTCCTCCACCAGACTTTAATTATTACCAATGCCTGTCCTAGGAATATGGGGAGTCATACACAATATTGCTTTACTTTCTAAAGTCTCTTTCTGAGCCAAGTCAGACTAATGCAGAGGATAAAGTGGCAGCATTTTTCAGAGAAGGAATGTATTTATGGCCTTACCCATACACAGCTCTGCTTTGCAGAGCAGATTATTTCTTCATATCAGAAGAACCAACATTAAAAACATGCACGGAGAAGAAATGATGTGCTTTATATAAATGGGACCTATCCCCTGATCTCTTAGATAACATCTATAAGGAGAAAAACTAGAAATAATCGCAGGATGCTCCTTGTTCCAAGTTCTAATTCGGATTTAGCTGGAACATGAGGAGAATGTGTCTTGCTTTAATGGACTCCGTGTCCACCATGAAATGTACAAGAATTCATCTTGCTGTCAGAAATAAATTTCATCTCACTTGTGATTGGAATGTTTACCCTTCTCCTAACTCATCTGATTTCTGTGAAACAAACAATGTGTATGTGTTTGAAAGAGAAAAGCAATGGTCTGAAATGCACGTGTTAGTACAAAGCACCAGCTCTGGTCTTGCCAAAGTCATTAATCTCCTCAACTCCTTGAAAACACTCACACAAGCAAATAAAGTCCCTGAGGATGGTAATAGATTATTTAATTGCTTCCATGATTATTTAAAGCATAAAAGTCCCTGAATAAGAAAATAGCCTAGAAAAAAACCATCAAATCACAGATGGTAATTTTTTGGACATGATACTGCCCTGTTGTAAAAGAAATAAATATGATCAACCAACGGGTACACACACGACATGGCAAACCATTGGCTACTGCTTTCTGTCAGGTACTGAGTTCCATCCCCAGCTCCTGAATCCACTAAACCTTTAAAACAACATGAGACACTTGACCAAGTTCCACAGAAAAGTCTTCAGTCCAATGGGACAAACTGAGGGATTCCAAGCTCTGTCTTTAACACTGGGATATGTTCAGCTGTTAAGAGTCACCTTTAGATCCACTACTTTTTTTAATTCTTCCAAAATTCTCTCTACAAGCAGCTTGAGCATTCTTGCTTGACACTATATCCAGAGGCTGACAATTACTACATCCAGAACTAGCTAAGTTTCAATTAAAAAACACAACAGCACATTAGCCAGGGGAAGAATGAAACAAAATGCCATTGCACAAGCACCACAGCCACAGCACAGGTGCAGTCAGGTTACAGCGTGTAGCTTCTGACTGTACCAAAGCCTAGCAAATACATGTTTCTGATACAGAAATTTTCCACTAGACTTCATCTTGCCAGGCTCTACAATTTAAAAAGGTATCTGTTTAAAACAACTAACACTAGAATTTGATTCTAGAACACTTGAGATTAAAAATTCTGCTGTCGCCATCCTAAATCTGTAATCAAAATTTACAGCATAAAACAATGAATTCATAACACAGTTGTTTGAAAAATCCAGTCTGTAACTTCCTCTTCCTATGAATTTAACAGTGGGTAGATATTTAACAGTCATTCACCAGATTAATTAAATCCTCTGAGTCCTGATGTAAACTGAAATTCACAGCAATTCTGACACCTGACGTGAAATACACAAACCGTAAGAAGAAAGCAGTTGCTTAAAGTTTGCTGCACAACAGGTTCCATGTCCTTCTGCACAGAAGTGTCTATTTTATTTAAATTTCCACTGTACATTTAGACTTGCAAAATGTGAATAAACCACTTAGTCACTGCATTGTTTGAAGCCCAGGTCTGGCTCTGTCATGCTGCCTGCATTTCCAAAGAGCTGCAGTGACATCCAGTGGTAGTTAAACAAACTCAAGCTCACAAATCTTGGAAACATGACAATTCCTCCCAACCCACGTGAGTTTCTGTTTGGCACCATGTTCAACCGAAGGAGAGCAGGTGTAGCACCTGGATCTCGGGTGGATCTTCCATGCTGGTTATCACAAGAAGAATCGGAATAAGCTTAAGCAGTTTTTGAGCGGACAGGCCTTCAGCCGAAAAGGAGGGCAAGCTCCCTTTCTTTCACACCATCTACCTAGAGCTTCAGAACCTGATGATTTCCTACCCAGATGCCTTTTCCACTCAAACACATCACTTTCAGGACCTAACACACTGTTCAAGTAGCGCAAATACCTCCCTTGCAATGTAACATCTCTCATTACTCATCTCTGCGTGCCTCACATTGAACACAGAACAGCTTTATTCTCTCAGAAGACTTCACCTCTCAAATTAGAAAAGGGAACACACATCAGGAAAAACCATCTCACCAGAAAAAACAAGATCCCAAAACACAGCAGTAACCTCTTCCAACAGACCAGCTATGTGCACCTGTGAGAGCCAACTATGTATTTTGAAGTTGAGCATTAATCATTCCAAAACCAAGAAGAAATCAGTAAGTCAAAATCATGTTTCCAGCTTGCCTTACATCCCACAAAGCCTAAATTTCCATGTCTCTCCAATTGAAGAGTACCACAAACAGATGGAAAAGCTTCATAAGCCCTTAGTCATATGGCTTAGTTTTAGTTAATCCTGCAAGGAGCAGGGAGTTGGACTCAAGGATGTCTATGGGCCCCTTCCCTCTCCAGATACTCTGTGATTCTCTGAAAAGCTGTACTTGTACAAATAAAAGTAAAGCACATTTCTAGTGCTCTTTACAAAATTTGCTTTAGAAATGTACATTAATACAAAGCAATTTCGTGGGTTAAGAGGGAGAAGAAGCTTCACTCTGCTGCACCAGGAGGTTAAGCAACACTTGATAACAGAATGTAATTTGGTTATGTTTAGTGTATAATTTTCAACTTCATGTGTATTTCAAAGATTCTTCTTCCAAACTGATTGCAAGGACTTAAGTCTAACCAGGTATAGAAAATAAAAGAGGTATTGTGAACAGCAGCAAGGCAACTTATCATGGTTATTGTATAGGGATCTGGCTATATGGCAAATAAAATTCTTAAAACTCTCTAGAAACAATTTCCTTCAGATTTAAACTGAATTTTTTTAGGAACAATCAGCCATGTGAAAAGGCCAGACCTATAGTTCCACCACTTTCAGGGTTAAGTATTCAGTCAGAAAAGCAGAGTATGTACTCTGCATAGGTGGTATAACCTCCTCCTGTTGCAGAGTCATGTAGCCTTACGGCTTCCCTCCAGTGCTGTCCCATCCCACTGGAATAAATAAACAGTGTCTTCATTACCTCGGTTACAGATAGTGCAGAAATTGCTTGGTCCTTCACTATGCTTCTTCAAGTGATCTGCCATATATGCTGCTCTCAAGTACTTCCCACACACCTGGCATGGAACTTTGTCTTCATGGCACGCTAGGTGTGAGCGCAGCCGGTCACGCGTGGCAAAGGAAGCGTTACAAGTCTGCAGGTATAACGAGAACCATGTGACTCATCAGCTCTGCTAAAAGCACTGATATTGTTAAATACATTTAGCATTTTTTAGAGCAAATACCTTAGATCCTGTGCAAACACACAAGTGACATGGTGCACAAGCCATTTTCCCACAAATAAAAAATTCAGATCACCAACACATTGTACAAGATGTGATGTTACCATTTGAAAGAATTAAGAAAACAAGAAAACAGCTCTGATATACTATAGACAATAGAACTTAAATCAAGATAGAGTCGTAAGGCTTTAGCTCCTCTCTGAGAATGATTAATAATAATTAACAAAAGAAACAGCACAAACCACTTTGTTCCATTTACAGTAAGTTATGCCATTTCATTGAGCCATTACAATCACTTTAGACCACTCAAAATGTCATCTCTCTCTGTCATCTTCCTAAATTCTACCCTTCGATGTGATCAATCCAACTTCAGCACCCAGAATTATTTTGGAGTATGAAGACATACAAACAAAACAGCAGAGAACTCTCTGGGATGAGAAGATGATGAGACAGTAGAAGAGTCATCCTGCTATCCACAGCAGCAGTGCAAAATGTGTAAGTGAAGCCTCGGAACTGAGCAGATATCAAAATAGCTGCACGACATTGTAATCTGCTTATAACTTACCCCTGAGCAAGGTATCATATTCCACTTGCTACCATGAAACAAGCTTGATTTGGCCTAAGATGATATTGATTCTACTTGCCCACTTTCCAGATGAAATCCACATGATGAGTGAAGGCTCCCTCCCATTTTTATAACCCCAGCAACTGGCAGGCATGCAGGCTATGTCTACAGTTCTGAAGGGTTTGCTCTATCTCTAGTGTGTGAAGGAAAATAAATCCCCAGCAATATGCTGTACCAGGTATTAAAGGTATGGTCTAAACCATCCCACAAGTGCGAGAGGAGAAACAAAAGCAAACATCCATCAGAATGACCAGACCAAGCAGGCAGCAGTGACATCCAAGTGTTCAGTGCTCTGTTTATACAACCTTTACATAAAATTGCAGAGTTTTAAGATCTATAACCAGAACTCCCTATATAATATGAGGATATTAAGTGACTTGGGAGCTGGATATGTTTTGTCTTTTCAAGCATCAGTGTGTAATTAAACCACTGTTTCAATAGACCTGTTAAATGAACAATCCTAGCAAACTTCCAAAAGCGTAACTTCAAGCAAGTAAAACTGATAATACAGAAGAGGATAACACATATAATTATATAAATTCAGTTAATCAAGAGCTTAATCCAAAACCCATTGAAGGCAGCTGAAAAGTACCTATCAATTTCAACAGGCTTTACACTCATTCGATCCTGTGAGATGCTTAAGTCCAGCAAACTCCCATGGAGCTGAGGCTGCCCAAGAATTAACACCTCAGAGGATCAGGACTTAATGAAATTAAAAAGGCAACAGTAAAATTATCTGCATTTCTGCAACACACAGTTTAACTAAGCTCACCAGACAAAGATTCATAAATCGCAAGCAGTGAAGATTAAGAGGCAAATTCTTTCTCTTCATTTGAAATCTCAGTACACAGCGCTGAGCAAAACAGGTGCAGCTTTCACTTACTAAAATGTTTGTAGAGGTAAACGCTTTTAAGGCAGGATTCCAGCACTGATACTAATCAATCTGTTGGATACTGACTGAGGATACTAACTAGACAATCAAGACTGACAGCCAAGAGATCCATCATCAGTAAATCTGAGACTGAGGAGCCCCAGTGAGCGCCCATGCCCCAGCACTGGGAGTGCATCAGCTGATGAAGCAGATCAGAGACAAATCACATAAACACAGGGACACCAGAAGTAAAACTGTATCTGCCCCATAGTGAGCTGAGCAAGCTGAAAGCTTAGGGAAAGGCAATATAATAACTTCTGTGTTTGATTTCTCACTCTTGCTTCCGAGCTGTGCAAAGTTCACCTTGGGATAAGCTATATAGTAAATATATCTGTGAAGAAGCTTAAAAAAAAATTAAGTCCAGTGGAGAAAGCAAGAACCAGTTGAGCTGAATCATAACAATGGGAGACAGGACTAGGTTTAAAGAAAACCCCAAAGTTAATATTCAAATAGTTAATATTTCTAAAAGGTATATAGAAAAAAAAGTTTTATTTCATGAAAGATATGAAGTGCTAAATGAGTGCTAAGTATTTGTAATTAATTGTTAATCACAGAAGAAAGTCCTCCAGTGCTCTCCTATCAAACATTGCACAGGTATATAGACCAAAAAGAATATATAAAGTTTAAAAAACATTGTTTAAGAAATACCTCTTGAAGTTTCAACTTTTCTATGGATGTGGATGTCTCTGAGCTTATTCCATGGTGGCTGCCATTTTCCTGCTAATAGGCAGGAAGTAAGAGAAATTAGGACAGGAAGAAACTCATTCTGCATTGAAATCAATGGGAAAAGCACTGGACTTGGGATGCCAATTAAGCTGTGCTTTAATTTAACCTGCATTTTTCTTTTATTTTTTTAAATTGCCAAAAGAACAACCTGTCTCTTGCCTCTGTGAAGAAGCAAACTTCTGTTTTCTCTCACGGCCACAGGTTTTCAGATCACCATTTCCTCCCATACTGCAGCCTACCTCTCACCCCACTCGCAGGCAGAAGCCAAGAGCTGCACCCCTGCCCTGCCGAGAGTCAGCGAGCTCAGCTGCTCCATTATGGCCCTAAAACTGACTTACCCCTTCTCCTACATCCAGAACTCAACTGTCAGATCAGGAAAAACACCCAAAAATCATCAGTGAATCCAAGGGAAAAGATCCAGAGTGCCATTTGCCTGGACACCAAAGCAACTTATCGGATCCAATTTCTCAGCTGCCTTGCTCTGTGGATACTTTCCCCAGTCTGACTCTATTTTAACAGTAATAAAAAAAGCTGGAGTCAGGACTTTGGCATCAGGTGCTAGAACTTAGGATACCTGTCAAAGGTTTGGAAAGCACAGCCATTATTCTAGGGGGATGAGTGCAGGCTTACATGCAGAGCAGTGAGACCTATAGCTGTTGCAGTGATGCTCAGCTTATCCTGCTTCTCATACTTTCATTTTATTTATCCTGAAGTTGGGTTGACACATTCTCACTTTTGTTTTGGTACTCCCAAGTGTACCATGATGTCACACCAACAAAACATAGATATCAACCATGAGAGCTCAGGTAAATGGCCACTGGATTTTGTTTCAGTCATAACAGAGCACAAATTCCAGAAATGCCATTGCAATAGAGGATTCTGGAATGCTCTTCTGTTTACTGGCAAAGTAATTATCTTTTCCAATAAACATAAACAAAGCATGACAATAACAGGAATTTTCAACAGAAACTCAACAGATTCAAAAAGGATCCTTAATGCTGCTCAGGCTTCTCTCATGGGGAGCTAATTTGCCAAACAGAATCAATGGAAAATGGGCAAACAACTTGCCAATATTAAGCTATTTTCCTTCTTAGTGGCCAGATTCTGTGTTTAGATACACATCACGGAACAGAAGTGTAACAGCTTATGAGACAATCACAAGGAGAACGTTATCGATATATCAGCTTTCATACTTGAAATGAATTTTCAGTGTGACAGCATCCCTTCTGTGGTTTGTACCATATATATCAGATCTGAGCATATTTAAGAAGACTTGCTAAATCTGACAGGATATTACAAAGTATTTTGGCAAAGACACAGCAGGTCGTTAACAAATTTTCTACACCTTAAGATTCATGAAAAATCTGTGCAGGGTTAAGCAGTCAAAAATCAAGAATCAACCAAGCCTGAAGGACACCCCTGACTCTGTCCTGATGCTTGTAACCTAGAGCCTATACCTTACTGAAACGAACAGTGCATACAGCATTGTGGCACTTTAGACAACAAACAAGGAGAAAAACTGTTCTTAGAAACTGCTATCACATAACACGTGTGCCAGGAGATGGAGTTGAGCTTGGCTGTACAATCTCAGCTTCCATATTTCTTTACTTTCTAGCTCTTAGTGTATCCTCTGATTCACACAGAGTTTATATTTAATATTCTTAAATCCATCAGAAACTATAAATAAAATTAACAGGCATCAGCTGGCAAAGGACAACTCATAGCTACCACTGTTATTCATAAACTGTCCGTTCCATAATCCTGGTATCAACAGGCAAAACACTGATGAGTTTCTGTTTATGTTGGGACCTAAACATTCATTTTTGTACTTGCACACAAACACACAGGAAAAAATCTATAGTCACCTTCGGTTCATCCACTCAGACCCCTTGCTATCCCCAAGCTGTCAAGTCTTTTTCTGAGTGGAATTTTCCAATTTTTATAAATCTATAACCCCTAAATCATCTTAAGAAGCTTAAGCCAATCTAAAGCTTTATATAGGATATACAGTTAAATCAATGTGATGGCTCTGTGGCCTGACGTTCGAATGTGCTGAGCCTCCACAGACCATATGGATGTCAACAGAAACCTTCAGATGGCTCAAGCTGTCTGGAAAACTGTTCACTGGATTATTAAAATTGCAAAATGTTTCAAAACTCTCACAATTTGAAGGAGAGATGTGTCAAAACATGCGCAAAAACGCAGACTGGGAGGCAACAATCATGTAGGATCATAAAATGTGGTTAAAAATATTAGAAGAAAAAAATCCTCTAACCTTCACTGTCTTCAAATAAAAAGAAAATAATCTTGCTCCAACTTCTTTAAATAAATCTTTCTTCAGAAACCAAGCATGGAGACTGGTAGCTCAACAAATGTTTTAGAAGTTTGCCCAACATCTATGTGGAGGCAATGTGTAAGAGTGAAAGCTGATTCTCAACCTTGGTTTTAATTGATATTTCCAGGCACCTTTTAAATCTCTCTATAACTGAATGATGAAATATCTTCTTACATTTGATCTTTCAAACTCTAACAAATAATCCATTAACTGTAAAAAACTATATCCAACATTATGGCATGGGATATTGTGATGCCATTATATTCTCCCTGGGATTAAAAAAAGCTTCCAATTTTGCTCAGTGCAATGTTCTGAAGGCTATGTGATTGAAAAAAAAAACAGTATCTTGACAAGTTATGATAACTGAACCATTTTATTTGAATGTACTCTAAAAAAATGAAGTCAGCCTTGGAGCCTCCTGATGGCAACAACTGCAATTAAAAATCAGTGGGGGGAGGAGAGGGAATCATCAGTGACATTGACCCTAAGCCCAGGTGGCTGGGTAAGAGATCCAGGGTGAGGCTGGGACAGAGCAGTAGGGAAGAACATCTGGCAGAGGGGGAGGGAGGCAGGAGGACCAAAGCTGTAGGTGACACGAGGGGCTGGGGACAGGAGGGATGTAAAGCAGCTGTGACTGCTGACCACTGTTACTTACAAACATTTGTCCCAATTCACACACACATAGTATTTTTACTGGTACTTCATAATTGTCTGCACACAGAAATGCAATGCCAAAGATTACCCACACATCAGTCTAAACCCCTCTGGCTCCTACCTGACACTTGTGAGGTCTCTCTGAGGTATGCACCTGTTTGATGTGTCCATTCAAGTGGTCTGGCCTTAAAAGAAAAGACACATAAGCACACTTAAAACAAATACTAAAAATAAACTTACAATTGTAACAAAAAGAAAAAATATCCCAGTGGTGGATCTATTTACACATTTAGTGATAGTTAACTTTCCAAGAAGCAGATCACCAACAACTGGGACTCTACTTTGTTATGTGCCCTCTCCAACTTGCTAAAAAGGCAGCATTTTCTTGGAAAGAAATCATGACTGAATGATCGGTGAAACCAGAAAATACAAGTTACAAATTCAAGCCTGCATGTCCCCTTCCAATTTCCTAGTTAGACCTTGACAATCCAGGCACTCTCGTGTACAGTTGCTGAATTTTGAAGATCAGACCCATTTGTGTTATGTCCCAAACATAGATGTAAAAAGCCAACTTTAAGCACCTCTGTGCGAAAAGACTGACTCTAAACTCTGTTGCTGTGACAAATGTTCCACCATCAAGACGAAAAAATATTCTTCTAACTCAAAACTCGGTGGAAGACTGCATTAATACAAACAAAGTGCCCTGAAGACCCCAACTAGAAGGTGCAATGGAAGAGCAAATTATTACTGAAAAAAAAGTTAGACCATTCTTCACAACCAGCAAAGCCTACTTTGAAGAAAAAAGGACTGAAGAGCTGCAGATTTTCCTGGTGGGAGTTTCTCCTAGTGGGAAGAAAGCTTTTCATTGTATGAGGCCAAAACTGCTTGGAAACAAGTTCTCCACCCTCTCCTCCCCCAACTTCCCAGCGGCACCAATGGGAGGGCACGGGATGGAATTCACGCACTGCAGACAGAAAATAGGCTGAACTTTGCAGTGAGGCAGTCAAACGCGATGCTCCAGCGATGGGCTGGAGTGGTGTAACCGGACGGACTGGTTGGGGTCCCTCCTGGGTACCTCAAGCCTAGCAACCTCACGTGCTGTGCCAGTGAATAAAGGAAAGGACACTAAAATGAGACCTCATGCTTCCAACCGCCTCTGGCTGCTCCTAAGACTGAATACTGGAACTTAAACTCTCTAGTTTTCATTCATACTTCGATTTTACAAAGCTATGCAACTATTTTCGTTGCATACTTCTATCCTGCCTGCCCGGGAAAAATGAGAACTCAACATGGATCTTTCAATTTGCCTTGATGACAAAAACCTTTCCTGTCACCACAGCAAAAATCTTCAAGTGTCAATAAAAAACAATAAAAATTGGTACACTATCCCAGGTAGCACTATAATAAGAAAAATACTTGCAGACACAGATGAAATTTTCATTGTATGACTTTCCATCCCTGTATCTGCAATCCTTATGAAGACGCATCCCTAATTACTGCCGATTTCTAAAAAAGGGGAAGGGCTACATTTTCATAATTTATTTCAATAACAAGAAGTTCCTCTAGCAAAAAAAGAGAGCTAGCAGGGGCACAATTCCACAATTCATATAGCCTTTTGATTTGTTTTCATATCTCAATTCTTTCCCTCCTGTTAGAGCAAATCAATGGCTGTAGAAAAGTGACTGCTGGTACAGAAGTAACGATATATGCATCCCCCTCCCCCCACTACTTCTAGTCTCAAAGCAAGCAGCAAACTTCCAAAAAAGTTTCAAATTCGTTAACTCAGACTATCAGATACCACTAACACAACTACGTGTACCAAACTACTCATTAAATTAGCTCCCACAAACAGCGACAACAAGAAATCAGCAACATTAAATGCACAGATCTTACGTATGTTGCAGGGCAGAAACAGGATCCCCTTCAGAAGGATGTAAACCCAAAGGACACAAAGATCATGTATTAAAAGACACTTGATGCTGCAGCCTTTGAAATCTCACCTCTTCCTTCACATTTGGGTGATAAAAAACATTACGAACTAAGAGAAATGAAGGGAAGTTAAGAAAAGAATATTTAAAACGAATACGAGAAAAATAATAATCTTGAGCTGTATTATTTTGCACTTCAACAGCACCTTCAAACTACCTACAAATCAGGAGTCTCAAGACACTTCTGTGAGGTAGGTAATTATTTCAATACTCATTTCACAGAAGAGTCATTTGAGGCAGAGACTAACTGATTTGCCCAAGGACATGCATACACCAAGCCTGGGACAAAGCTGGGAATGTTACCCAGAAGCCAACTGACTCCCGGTTCTGTGGCTTAATTACTTCTGAACCCTTTCAAGAGACTGCGGAATAGCGTCCCAGCGGAAATGGTGGAGTATCACTTCTCCACACATTTCAAAGTGGAACAAACTATCCTAAGTACATTCCCAAGGGATAGGAAAGGTAACTTCCTAGGTCTCCGTTTGCATCTGCGGTCCTCACAAGCACTCTCTTACCTGGAAAAGCCTTTTCCACAGCTCTGGCAGATGTAGGGCTTTCCCACAGAGCCATCGTGGGATCGAACATGATAGGACATCCTGTCTTTCCGCTTGAACCGTAAGCCACACACCGGACAAGAGTAAGGCTTCTCGCCAGAGTGTGACAGCTTGTGCCGATTCAGGTGGTACACGTCCCGAAAAATCTTGCCACAGATCTCACAGGCCACCTGTTTCCTCGTCCTGCTTCTTTTTCGGGGCGCATCGGGGTCATCCTGACCAGGGACACCGTTTTCACCCAGTCTCGGCGGTGGGATGTCTATGTAGCCCAGCTGCAAGCTG